TTACAGTTAGCCTAAAAAGCAAATGTGACCCCTGACCTGAAAACTGGTTCTTTAACAAATATGTTAAGCAGTATGTATGCCAAACCTAATAGAACTTCAAAGGCTCCTCGACAGTGCAGAACCGCCAAAGGTGTAGCAGTACACAGTGAGAAGACTTTGGCTCTTTAGTGTCCTAGAATAAGGCTACTAGAAAATATTTTCATTTCCCCCACCTTTCAAAATTACTGCAAATTTCAAGAAAATAAGTTAAAATAAAATTAACCCAGAATATGAAAAAAAAAAAAAAATCAAATGATACTTGGCATTCTCTCAACAAGCTAGCAAAACACAAATTGGTGATTTTTTTTTTCCTCCTTCTTTTGTATTATAGCATCATGCATACATTACCATGCAATAAAGTTGCAAGAAGCCTCTAAAGTGCCTGCTTCACACCTGAAAGAAAACGAGCTTTCTTGTGCTAAGTATAGAAAAAGTCTTTAGTACTTGCCCAAACGCTGACTGAAATTTATTTCACAGTGATAAAAATGGAAAGATCTTACATTTTCCCTACTACAGAAATAATTTCCAAAGTTAAGATTTCTTATTATAAATAAAATGAGTAAACTATGTAAATTACATCTTAGATGATTATATTAAATATAAATGGCTTATACTTCATAACACAAAGAGTAAGTGTTCAGTATTTCTTTATAAAATCTAAGATACACGGGCCTTGTACATATGGCTTCATTAACATCTTATACAAATTTTTTTTCAGTCATATCCATCAACACAAATAGCACCTCTACGTAAAAGATGCATCCTAATGATTTCAAGGAAGTGTAGTATACTCCATTAGAGAGAACATGTTTTAATTAACAGTTCTAATACCAGTTACAGTGTACAGTACTTTTATCGATCGACTGTGTTGTAATTATACAAGATAGGAGGAAGAGACCAAACCATACAGTCTTCACCACAGTACAGACTCCAGTACAAGTTTACCTGTAAGAATGGCTGGAAGATTTGGCTTATAATACAGAATTCAATGTATTTATTAAAAAGTGGGCAACATATTCCAACAAGAAGTCAGAGTTCTGACTGCACAAAACTGCATCAAATTTAAGTAGCATTTTGAAATTAAAAATGCATTAGGGAGTTAGAGACCCACTGAAACAACTTATCTGCAAGCGAGCTATTTTCATATCAATGCTGTTGCAGGCTTGACAGACATCAATCCCCTTTTGGGGAAAGTCTACCATTACAAAAAAAAAAAAAAAAACCCCAACCCTTCATTATTGGACAGTTTCAAATTGTAGTTTATGAGGCTAGGACATCCACATTTAAAACACTGACAGACCAACTTCTCCGTTTTAATAGAATATTATGAAAACCCCCACACCAGACTGAGCTATCATTCAGCCTAAAAAATACATGCAATCATGACAACAATCCCAGCACCAAATCACTTCAAGTAGTGAAGCAGTTCAGCTATAAGATCATACACACAGCTTTCCAACTAGCTGGGAAGTTATAAAAGACAGGAGCTCAAGATACACACTGTAATATGGCAAGAGACAGGATAGGCTTCAAATATATCCTTGAAGTTTCCTCTAGCTTCTGGGCTCTTTAACAACCCCCAACTACCACATACTCCTATACCCCTGCAAAAAAAAAAATTATTTGAGGAAGAATTCTCTCCCTCAAGTTCAGAAATTCAGAATTTACTTACATTTACTTTGGTAACACAGCTCTTTGTAGATAAAGCAAGCAGCAAAACAACAGTATAAAAAAAATCTTGTTGTGATAGCTAAGTATTTGAACAAAGTTAGCACATAAAGCATTTCTAGAAAAACATCTGCAAGCATCATGGAGAGGACAGTTGAAGCTGACTTGGATTAAAATGAGGAAGTACTAGAAACTAACCACAAGCTGTGAACACAGTTCACCAAACTGAAGAAAGTGTTATGAATCTAACAAAGAATAAAGCTACGACTGATCTCATTTTAGTATCTTAGAATGAGTTTAAAAAATATTTCTAACAGAAGAAAGAATATGTGAAATAAGCACACAGTCAATTAGAAGTTGAACAAAACAGCTGAACAGCATTATCAAATAATTTACAAACAGGACGAGAAAATAATAAAGGAAAAATCAGAAGCTTGTGCAGAACTTTGGAAATATGCCAATATTCGGGGAACTATTTAGACAACAGGGGAATGAGGATAAATCTAAAAAATAGGAGAAATAACATAGTTTGCTTACCAAGTTTGCAATTCAGCATGACTACAAAATTAGCTAATGCAATTTGGGAATGACTCCAAGCTAGGACATATTGTTTTCTCCACAGAACTTTGGCACAACTACAATAAGAATATTATGGTTTCTTCTGTGAACTAAATTAACTGAAAGACAAATTGGCAGATAAATAGAACAGAGTGACTGAAGGAAAAGACTAATTAAACTTCAAACACACAAGTGGAATATCTAAAAGTGTTTCAATACCATTTAGGAAAAAAAAATGCTTTCTCAGTTTTATATCCTAAGAGATGTTTAATAATCCAGAGCAACTGGATTAGAAAGGAGTAACAGCTTCCAAAACATGAAGTGCAATATATATGAAGAAAAGTGCTGAAAACTGAGAACTCGCACTAGGTGAACAAGACAGATTTCTGGCAGCAGCTGTGTTAAAGAAGGGATATAAAGATGTAATTCCCCATTCATGCATTTGTACTGGCAGATGCCTCTCACGTAAATCCACATACACTGTAAGAGGACCACTTGATTAAACTGGGAGAGGGAAAAGTACCTTAGATGCAGGTATGAAGCACAGCGCTGACAGCAGAGATGCATCCAAAGTAGGAATATTCTTTGCTTGCACACATATTATAGTATAGAACATTGTTACGCAGCATATTACATAGCAAAAACTGTAGTGTATTTTTTAAACATTCCTAAGTGTGGTGGCAGCCTCTGAACTCTACAAGAGAACAGCTGTTTCCAGAAGTAAATTATGGCTTTTAACTGCAAAAAGCTGTTGAGCATGTATCGATTTCTGTAACCCAATGCATTCTACAATGTTAAGCTTCTTTCAGAAGAGACATTCTGTATCTTGTAGATTTACTTTTTTCCCATAGTAGGTTTTGATATTCCTAGGCTATACTGATCCAGAGAAATGTAGAATGATGTATTTGAAAATAAAATTCTTTGTCCTTTTTCAGAAAAAACACTCCAGTCTCAACATGCAATGAAAGAAAGTATTAGATGGTATCAATTTAAAGTTTAAGCTATATCCCAATTGCACTTATATTTCCTTTTTAAAAGAATTCAAATTAGTCAATGCCTGCATTACAGATGAGTCTTCAACAATATACAAAACTGCACAGCTGCATTGTTTTCAGTTAGTTACTCCACAGCAGACAGAAAAATCTAAACTATATGCTGGAATTGCTCATGTAAAATATATCAACAACATTTCTACACAAATGAAAGCTATGAAGACTAAAACACAAGATGAATATTCAGGACGAAAACAGGAATTTTAAAATGAAACTCAAATTAATCCTATGCACTTCTTCAGAATTCTGTTCCAAGTCAGCATTTGACATGACTTTGTAGTAATAAAAAAAAAAAAGACATAATAAAAAAAAAAAAAGACAACAAATAAGCGACAAATGACAGTTTAACAAGCAATGTGTCCCTTTAGAATGTCCACAGCATCTACCTATACGAAAACAGTTAAAAATTGAGAGGTTTAAAAATAGAAAATACCTTTGCTGACTTCTAGCCAGTCTAGACGAACAACCCTCCTTATCTGGAGTAACAACATTTAATATTTAAAGCTTTGTCCTTCGTAACATTTATTTTACCATCATATGCCCACTATGTTACATTTTGTGTACTTTATGCATTCATTACATAAAGGAAATGTTTTAATATGTTTTCAAGGAGTAGTAAGAACAAATCATGTCTCAAGTGTAACTAAACTGGTCACATTTATGTTGCTCACTTTTTTTAATGACTTGTACAAATAGTTTAAAATTCTGCAATCAAAAAGAAAAAAATCAGACTTCTTAAACAGTACACTTAGGTTACATTCTGTCATTGTTACCTAGCTGCCTCATTCATATAGTCCCACCAGTGGACAATTAATACTAAAAAGATTATAATTTCTTGCATGTGTATTATTTAATCCTCATCCTAAGTATAAATTTGCAACACAGTAGTAACACTGCCGGTATAGAAGTAATGCTTCCTATCAGGCATTTGAAAAGATTAACACTCTACCACAGTTGATGCTGGTGTATTTATATAGAAGGGTTCTCACATATCATTTCAGTCTACGGGAGGTAGATGTTTGTCTATGAACTGTTTTACATCCATCATTTCCTGTTTAAAGATAAAAGTATGTATTAGTTGAAGTACCCTACTATAATATATCCAGCTACACTAAATCATGTTTCAACATTTCAGTTCTAATGAGCAGCTGGGCTACAAATGAGTAATTAGTTACTTGATAAAAACATACCACTTCGCACAAAAGTCAAGGCTGGTAACTCTTCAAGGCACTATGCACTCAGGTATACAAGAAAAAGAGCAGAAACTACTTTCTTTTTCTCTCCATGAAGCTGAGCTGGCAAGCTACATATTAATCATCAAGTGATCTGAACAGCATCAGGCTGAGCATGGATAGGATTTGAATGTTGCTAAGGCTTTAGCTTCATGTATACTTTAAACTTTTGCAAATTAGCAGCAGTGTGAAAAATCCAGCAGCTCCTCCTCCTAAACCATTCAGTTTCACCTTCATGGTGCTTCCTTCCTTAAGGAAAAGCAATACAGTGAACTAGACTGGGAAACCAATCCATGTTAAAAAATTTAAAAAATTAATTAAATTACAAGTCAATACTGTAAGAAAGAGCACATTATTCATATATGTGTGACAAGTCAGTGCTATTACTGCCTAAACAGAATACAGCTGTGTAAATGTCCCAAAGAAGTCATCCAAGGGTGCAGTTCCCACAAGGTGCAGCAATCCAAATTAACAAAGTTACTACTGCTGACAAATGGCAGACTTGTTCCTTGCCTCCTCTTCTGTTTCTTCCTCCTACCATTTACTTTGTGTGAGTTCTGATGCTTCAACTCACTACAGCTGCAAAAACTGAAGCCAGCAGCTTTTGCCATTTTAGCAAGTTCAAATGGTTCAAAGAAGTTTTTGATTAGCTCCAGAGCTCGTGCAAGAAGGAAGAGAGGGCCACAAGGTCATAAGCAGAAGGAACTAGTCCACCCCTTTCTGGCAGCAATAAGCTGTTACATCAGCTCAGCTGCCTGCTGAGCCGTAACCATAAATATAGATTCTGAGGCTGCCTCTTCCATAGCGTCAACACTCCCCTCTCCACTCCTTCGATGCCTCCCTCCATAGAACTGACAAGATTCTTCTCTCCAAAATACCACGTTGGATTTCTGCTGCAGGGATCTGCCTTCCAATTCAGAGGTTTTTTTTTTTTTTTAGTAAAGCAAATAATAAAATAAAGAGTATTTTATGGACCAACTAGCCTAGTCCCAAAAATGCAATCTTATGAGCAAGTTCCCGCTAGTCATATAAACTTTTGCCTTGGATGCTTTTTCAGCCAGGCATTCAGTTAATAAATAAGTCAGGAGCATCAAGCACTTGTTATTAAAAAAAAAAACCAAAACCCTTAACACACCCTCCCCAATACATACTTGGTTTGGGGGAAAAAAATTAATCATACACGGGTAAAACATTGTGTATTAAGAAAATTACCTCAATACATGAGCTATGCATCATGCCAGAGTAAGTCCTGAAGGTTACGTTGGCTGGATTTATCATACTCTTTAGCTTCTCAACAGTGAGAGAACCGAACATTAGAGGAACCAACGGGTCACAGTCCCCATGGCACTGAAGAACAGCAATCTCCTTGTTGACACCACTGATAGGGCCCTGTTAGGGGTGGAATTAGAGGGGAGAAGAGAAGAAAGACACAGTAAGTGGAGGTAAGGCTAACATCTTCAAGATAAAATAACCCCACAGCACTATGCCCTGTGGCATGACAAATAAGTTGAATCCTGAAGGAAAAAAACACAAGCAAGCTCTGCGCCTGACAACACACGAAGTTCAAAAATCTGCTAATAAAATGTTTGCACTAATTTCAGAACAGAAAAACGTGATTTCTGCCCAAGTAAAACACATTACACTTTGTTTATATATCTCTAATAAGATAGCGGCTTTCAGATGGAACAAATGGCAAATAGAAAATTCATCTTCAAGGAAAATTTGCTGTATCCTTTAAGTTTCCTAGGAATGTCATTTTAAGCAGAGATAGGTACTGACTATTTCCTCATTTTTACAACTTGCCAAACTCTAAACTCCAGGACCCTATTTTTAAAAGTTCTGAGTTATCAAATTACGTCAATATTTGGTAGTAATAACGGCCACTAAGTCTTGCAAAATATACCATCTTCAGATATACTCATTCCCAAGTACAAATTAGCTTAGGTAAGAAACATAAATACCTGAGGAAAAGAAGCCCGTAGAGGAAGCCAACAGCTGAGGGCTACAACACCTGCTAATTTTTGTTGTGTTGTAAGAGCTGTATACAATGATAACGCACCTCCCTAAGATAAAGAGAGATAAGTATTAGAATGGTGATGGTAATGTTCCTTCTAATGCTTGTTTCAAGATAGCTGGTTTCTCCTTTAAAAGTCTTTTTCTATTCCAATCTATTCTTCCTTAGAACCAACACTAAAACCAGTATTCCCGTATAATATTTATTTTGCGCGCCCCCCCGCCAAGTCCATGTGATCAATTCAGAAGTAAAACAGCAAGTTTACCATAACTAACAGCTAGGGGGGAAAAAAAAAAAAAAAAGGCTTGAAGTAAAGCACTATCACTCATGACAGTATTATCACTACTTTAATATTTTTATTTACTTGCATGTCGACTGGGCAGTTTGTGTATGGACCAATTAATCTATTAACCTACCTACCACAGATGTTTTACAAGTATGAAGGGCAGAATTTCCCAAATAAATCCAGACCATCAAACATCTACCAAATTAAAAGTTTATTATAAATACTAGCAAGATTTTCAAGCAAAGCTACGTAAGTTACGTGCATAAAGATTTTAAAGAGACTATTAATTTTAGCACCTTTTTTCCACATGCATGTTCATTTTCCAGTGAATGATAATTATTTGCATAAAACTAAAAAAACTTCACTTGTTAAGGCAAAGTGACACCTTAAAATTTTAGAAGCACCTAACATCAGCTCTTTTCAAGTGTCTGGATTTCCCACACTAGGAAAGCTAGGTTACTTGCTTAGAAAAAGACACAGTTCCTTCCAACCATACCTTACCTGAGAAAAGCCTCCCAGAATAATTCTATGAGAAGGAATTCCATTTTTTACTTCTTGATCTATCAGTGCTTTAACTGAAACATAAATAAAGGACAGTAGTTAAAAAACACTCCATTCTGTAGAAAGTCTAGATGAGGAAAGAGACCTTCTCCCTGACATCAACCAAAAGCTAGTGAAAGGAAAATCTAGTCTGCTATATATTAAAAATTACCAAAAGATCTAGAGCATGATCAGAAATTTCAGTGCCACTGTACCATCTCCAAAGAGCAAAACATGCAAGTAAGTCTTGCAAAAGCCCCACTGCCAGGAAGATGGTATCCTCTTCTAACTATCTAGCATCACAAATGGATGCTCGTACAGCTCTAACCTGCTGTGGTACCCAGAAACTCCTTACAAAAAAAAAAAAAAAAGTACACTGGTTCCCAGGTACATTTCATATTTGAGAGTATGAAGTGTTTGTACTGGTGAATCACTCTACCTACTCATGAAGTCTAAAAAAACAAAACACAAAACAAACTATGGACTTAGCTAAACTTTGATCAGTAATAGTACAATATATACATATTACTTTCCCTAACAATTTTGTCTTTGGAAAATCTGTTTCAGACTGATAATTAATTTTTAAGAATACATGGAAGTACTCTCAAGCCATAAAAAGTATTCCTAAGCATACCATTCTCTGCTGCCTGCTTGATCCCAACTTCATCTTCCTGTGAATCTGGAGAAAGTCCAATGATATCGAACCTTACAAAAATACCAGCAAGAGAATTACTCATTAGAGCATGCATTCCAATTCCTTAAAATACAAGTAATAAAACTGGGATATTTTCTGGGTAAAAACGTTAGCTGACACATCAGTACCAACTACCCATAGTTTACAAAAAATAGTGGACAATCCATGAATGTGGCTAAAAGGCTAGATCTAGTGAACATAGCTTTTCTGAGTTTTGCTATCTTCTGTAATTTAATACAGATTAAGCACCTCAGTTCTGGTATTTGCTCCAAAAATACCAGCAGGGATTTCAATTTATCAGTTACCTGTACAAAATTAAAATACTGTTTGAAGAAATATAGGAAAAACAAACAAGTTACTTGAGAATAAAAATTAAGAGGACTGGTTTAAGACCATTGAAATCTACCATATTTTTCTTGCTTTCTATTCAGAATGCATGTTCTAAAGAATAGTTTCTAGATACCCTACTGACCCACCAAATATTACTCATTAGTAGTAATAATGTTTCCACTGCAAGTCTCTACTACTGATGCCTATGAATTCACACACAATACAGACTACAGTCTATACTTGCAAAATAAAGTGGGGTTTTTTATTTGAAGACATACAGATGAGTCCTGAGAAATAACCATTACCATAGATACACAAGGAATTAAAGCGTACTCGTGAGAGTCCTTTTGTAAGAACAGAAGTAAAGCAAAAAGCTTTTTATACTTACATCTGATTAAAACTAGCCATTCAGGTTGTTCATGATTTTTAATTAAGAACGAGTTCAAACTCCTAGGTATCTTTTGATTAGAATCGTCTGCAATTGAATGAATACTTACCATGATGGCATAGCCATGTTCATGTTCAAAGAAACTGGCATAACTGGCCTAGAAATGAGAATGAACAACACTGACATAAGATACATACTGAAATTTAATAATGCAGATGCAGCTATGTCATGAAATTACCTATCTCCAATTCTGTCTTACTTTTAAACCATAATTAACATTAGCTACTTTGTAGCATCTCTTCAAGAAATCTCTCTGGAAACCTGCCAGCCCAAACACATTTAATATCCAGAGCTGAATTACCACGCTCTCTAAGGAGAGCAAGCAAAACATTAATGGTCTGCTTTATATAAATATACGTGTGTGCGCGCACATGTACATATACATATGAGATACATATATACCTCTCTCACACACATGTACCTCAGTTATTTCTAAGTAACAGTTACTTTTCCCACAGTTCCATACACATGCTCAAGTGGATGAAGGCACCTCACAAAGCAGCATCAGCAAACCTAAGGAAGCAGCCAAACGCAGCATAGTGGCAGATACGAGTCTGGCCCCACGTACTTCTCGCAGCAGCAGAACCTGCTTAAGCCGTGCCTGCCTGCACTGCAGGACTCACTCCCACCCTTATGCTGCTGTATGGCATCTTTTCGGACATACCAAGACAACTTCCATGGTCCATGCCATGGATCAAGTCTGGCTACAGTTTTAATCTACTGAAGTCGAGGAACGTAAGTTCTGTGGGGAAAGACTGAAAGAAGACAAAGGGCAAGCAAAAAGAACAGCAGATATTGCTAAACTCTTTTTGAAGGGCTCAGCAAAGCGTGGCCATGTGGTAAAATACACAAATAACTCACAGCCCCATAATCAGTAATACACCAAAACATTGCTTACTTATCTCCCTATCATCCCTGTTCTGCATCTCCCAAGACTGCTGCAGTGTTAAAATAAATGTGTGTTAAAATAAATTAAGACTATACTTAATTAGTTTTTCTATCATTAAGCAAATACTAGATAGGTCTTAATGCTTCATTTACTGACTCCCGACCCTGCTCAAAGTATTTTAGTTCTCAAATTGCACAAAGACAGCCCAAACTGCATTATTTGCTGAAAATGTGAATATCCTGTGAATCTTTGAAACTTGCTGCACGTAACAGGGAAATTTCATCTATTATACATGCACTTGAGTTTAAGAAGTACATGTACCTAATACAAAGTATACTTAATGGTCAGTAAAATACAAAAATTATTCCTTGTTAAGGCTGGCTTTTAACAAATGAGTGTTGGGGGGAGGAAAAGCAACAAACTCCTCAATCCAGTGACAACATAAAACAAAACAATCTAACCTTGCACATAAAACTTTCCAAGTATGTTTTCAGCCTGAATTATTAACAAAAGCAAAATATGAATAAAAATGCAGTTTTGACATAAAGTAAATCACACAGCAGTTCTTAAAAATAACAAATTATTTAATAGCATCAACATTACTTTGGAGTGGGTTTTTTTTTATAAAAACAGAATGCAGAGACATCTAAATCCCATTTGACTTCATCATCTGTGCAAGTGTCTTAAGTAACTCTACAGAAAAATGTAAAACAAGAAAAGTTGCAAACTTACGCATGTGGGCAAATGTATTTTACATGGGGGCTTTTGATACCTGCAAGCGCTTCTGACCATCCATGCCTGTTAACAAAAAAATACATTAAATCACATTTATGTTTTGGCTTAGCCCTTATTTTGATGTTGGTGCAACAGCACAGAGCAAGTATGAACTATGCTGAATTAGATCAATATAAACACATTTCTAGAAAATTTTTACATCAACTGCAGTATGCTATGAATATGGTACTACACTTAAAAGGTTAGCTCTGCCTCTGAATATTTGATGCATACCTACAGCCAGGGACACTTTATCTAATTTGACTATCACAGTTGTGGCACAGCTGCAGAAATACCACTTGGGCTCTGGGCAAAGCCTGCTCTGTATCTGGCTGGGTTTATTAACTTGCGTGCTACAGCGTATGAACACAGGTATCCTGCTTCCAGGCAGCTCTAGCCCAGAAGCTGTTTTGCTGTTCCTGTAGAGTTAAGGCAGCTTCTTTCACAGCCAACTTTGTTTTTTCTGAACCGAATTTCTTTATGTGGCATAGTGAACTGACATCTAAGCTAACGCCACATGAAGCCAACCTAATCAATCAGACCTATTCACTTCGGCTCAGCTTAAATGCTCCCAGATTCAGGCAGCCGCGAGTTGTTCAGATTGCAGGTAGTCTTTTAATCTCAAGCATGTGCTGTACGAATGCACGGAACACTGGGAGATCTGCACAGCAGATGAGTTGTCAAACTTCCTACAAACCAGAAAACTGGAAAGCATAATTTAAGTAAACAGGTCCCAAAGACTCACTCCAGGGCTCATCTAGACATGAAATGAGCTGGACCCAAATCTGACCTGTGCAGAACCACTGCCTGTGCCTGCACTTAGCTTTCCAGAACACTCAATACTACCTGTATTTCCTGGTTCTTCTCATTATTCAGTATTCCTAACACACCCACTAAACTAGACACTGGAAAGTTGATTCTAAGCAGAAAAAAGCTAACAAATTCATCAGTGACACAGCTGAACCAATCAGAGCAACAGCAGACAAGCCATAAAAGCACAGGTTGGTTTAGTTTTAAGATCACCTTGCAAAGTGAATGTATGCTACCTGAAATGAAAGATGTTTCAAACACACAGACAGCACAGACATTTGAAACACTGGTTGTGTATCTCAGTCTAACACCTACAAATACTTTTATATATACCATTAACAAATTGTGGGTGATATTACTTGCATAGTATTTGCAGTTTCACAGAAGACCAAATAAGAATCTAAGGGAGAAATACAACTGAGAAAAACTAATTAGGTAAGAATTTGGGGATTTATTTTTAGCCAACTATAAAGATTAATTTGACAAATTTGGAAAGCAACATCATATACGCATTTATTCAGACTCTTTAGAACAAACCTCTGTATTGTACCTTTTGTTCAGATTTTGACAAGTATGTACCAATCGTTAAGTGCCATTTATATAGGAGCTAAGAGAGAAAAAGAACATAACCTCTGGTAGACACTTCTCGAGTAAGAAAAACACAGTTGGTAAACTGAAGTGAGCAATTTAAAAATTCATGTGAAGTAGAACAGGTCAGTTTAAACTGTGGGAATTTACAAAATTGTTAATTGTTCTCTTCAGACAATTCTTTTTTGGGTCACTACTGCCTTTTTGGAAAAAAAAAATGGCAGTACGTCAAAGGCAGTTTTAGCTCATCTGATCTACAGTGGACTAGAGGAACAAATACAGCTAATTCACCATATTTCCACAAAGGTGTTAGGACTTCTTAACATATATATTCCAGTTGGCTCAGTTCATTTGCAAGCTTGAGACCGCACATTAGCTTTGTCACCAAAACGGCAATATGATACTTGTCTAAAGAATACAATTTATGTTAAAGAGCAAATCTCTGTGTTTTTTTCTCCTTGCCGAAACTAACATCAACCCAATTTGCAAGGACTCAAATTCCAAAGACTCAAAAGACTCTGCAATCATTTGCTGAACATTTGGTGCCAAGATGCAGGAAGCACTGCTGCCTCAGCTGCGTCCTACCAGCAGAAAGGAAGCAGGATAATGCAAACAAGGTGGTGTGTCAGCACAACAAATGAAAGCGAACATCTCCGCTTGTAGAATACTTCCAAGTGCATGGACTGGACTCTTTTTAACTTATTAAGTGTCCAGGTTACACAAGTTTCAATTCTGACAGCTGACTTATTTTTTTTAGTTCAGAAAAAGTTTATGTCTTAAACATTGCAAGTTTCAACCTAGAGGCAACATCAAAGTTCCAGGTAACAAAAACCCGAATTCTTAAAAAAATACTATGTAATTTTGCCGGTAAGGGAGCACAACAGACAAAGCATTCATGCTACTTATTTTCAGTATCTAAGTGCCAATTCCTTTAAAGTCTTCTACCAAGAAAAGGTTTCAACACACTCCTAACCTGTTACTTCAATGGCTTTAATGAATGTATGTTTGCATCTTGGCACACACAAGCTTCAAATGGAAACATTACACCACACCTAGAATGACTCCCAGAAATTCCCTACTCTTTCCATTTCTACTCAAATGTGGAAATAACAGGATGAAGGCAAAAAGGGTATTTCACAGCTTGTTGCGGGGGGGAGTCTGAAGACCATTCTTCAGATAGAGACATCTGTAGACCTTAGGTGACTACTTAGGAATTCTCTTAGATAAATCAAGTAAACCTGGATTTTAATGTAAGCGTGCCGTACTGAAGAAGAAACGATGTTCCAATTGCACCTACTAGTAAACCATCAATCCACAAGTCCGGGGAAGGAAAACAAACAAAAAAAAAAGAGAACTCTAAATTTAGACAAGCACAGGAATAACCAGGAACCCACTCTGAGGAAGGCGAAAGATCAGGAACCCACAGCCTTCTTTTTCCACCAAGTTTGACTCAAGAACAAAAGAGGGATCACATTCAGATCAAATTAGCTAAGTGATTGAAAAGAAAAAGCCTTTGAGGACTTATGCTGGAATACTTTGAATAAATAGTTGTCACTATCACTCCAGCATACATGAAGTTTCGTCTGCTGGTAGCCACTGCAGTCAATTAAAGGCAAAATAAGAAGCTTAAGTAGCTTTTAACTGCTCACATTTTTAAAACATGCAGCCTTACATTTGAAGCTATAAGTATGTAATAGATCCGAATACACACCCGGTATCTCCCAATCCATGAAGAAAAATGACCTAAAGGGAAAAAAAAAACCCATAGTGGTGTAAGATCACTAAACTGTAAACGCACCCAACCCACGTACTGCAGACGCCCACACAAGATCACACACAGTTCGGAGCACGATACGACTTTCTCGGAAGGAAACTCTGCTCCGTTCGCTTCCCAA